ACGCTCTTCACAGTGACCAGAAAGCAGAAAATGGACATCAGGAGAAATCTGAGAGGGTTCACAGCCCTGGTTTAGCCTCCCTGATTTGATCTGTTGTTAGAAAGACAAGCCAAGGTTTATTTTGTACAGAAGAAGGTGGGTCTGGCACAGGCTTGAAGATTCGTGTTTTGTCAGCATACCAGTGACAGCTGAATTGTGTTACACCCAATTTGTCATCGAGCATTTCAGATAAGAGAGATCGTCAAGAATTTTAAAGCATCTAGTTAAAGACTCTTGCTTTGCATCTGAACTACGTAAACGCTGATAAAACGCTCTCTGCATTTACTGCAACCCAATAAAAGAGAACTCAATGCAAGACTTCTCAGGTCAGGGCCCAGGGCAGAACTGCAAGCAAGATCCACCGGCCAGATCCATTCCAGAACAAATCACACTGAGAAGTGAGAAATGACACAGCTACAGCAATAAGGAGTTTCACATGTCACTGGGCAGAGGACAGAAACCAAAGTACTTACAAATCTGTAGAAGTAATCTACAGTCTTTATAGCACCTACTGATCGGGAAATGCGGAGATTGCAGGTGGCTTTAAATAAGCGGATGAGAAAGAAACTAGCACCAAATGACTTGAAAAATGGAGATCTGCCCATCAGGCTTCTGCAGCTCCCAGGCAGTAACTCTGCTTCAGGTCAGTGTGCAAGTCATCTGGTACTCGAATCAGGAGCTCTCTTCAGTGCTTGACTCTTCTTACAAGCCTATAAATAGCAAAGGTGGCACCACGCCAGAGTGCTGGAAGTTCACTGAGCTAGCTCGCTTCGCTCTAACAATTCCCCACTGACTCCTTGGCAAGGTCATCTAATCAGCTTCAGAGAGTGAGCCAAATTAACAATTATAAATTACGCTGATTAGCCTTTGCTTAAAGCTCCTCTGAAAGACGAAAGCTACAAAAATACAGGAGCAAAAATTATCACATGCAAGCTACAGTGATGAGGCAGCACATGAAGGCACGACTAGAGAACGAAGGCTTTTTAGATACTGAAGCATGAAGGGATGCATTACAACTGCGCCACGGGGAAGATACACTTCTCTGCTTGCTATATTTTTGCATTAGGCAACTGAATAAATTCTTGTGGTTATGACTAATTTAATCATGATACAAATGTTTATTTTGTTAATTCCCATGTAATAATGGATAGACCAGGAACAGAGACCTGGACATCTGACGCTGATTCATCAAGCAGCTCAGGAATCTCACAGCATCATGCTTTCTGCAACACTTGCTGATCATTTAAACTTTAGTACAAGAGTCAAGACAGATTTCTAACTCTCATGCTGCCTTTTCGAGGGGGTCTTTCTGCAAGTAAATCAGACCAGAAGTGGCTACTGCTGTCTCCTAGCTGCTTCGTGGGTCCCAGTTTAAGCTATGCTAAGCATATGTTTCACTTGGAGATGTGTGCTCAGCATTTTGGGGATAAAGGAAAGAAAGGAAAAAGGAAAGAAAAATCAGGCTCAAATGCTTCTGACTGAGCATATAAGCACTGATGGACCCAAAAGTTCAGCTATCATGTTTTTGAAAAATAAGCCTTATCTTCTGCACCTTTGCTTCCCCTTCAGTTTAACGGTCTGATGTACTTCTATGTTTGTGGGGGGAGGGGAAATCACGAAATATTTACAAGATTCAAAAATCCAATCTAAAATAGTAAAAATCCTAGTCACTACAACTTTTCAAAAGCAAAAAGACAGTAAACAAAAGGGAACTTTGTATTTATAAAAGTCCCTGGATATCTCAGAAGTAGCCCAAAAGGGCTTAAATTATGTCATAACTTGTCATGTAGCACACTCTCCCATCAATACTGAATTAACAAGCGTGGAGGTGACACATGTTGCTGAAAACAGATCCCTGCACCAAAGCTTTGCTGTCAATATCAGCAAGGGTGCCAAGTACTCTGCTGCTGTCATGGCAACCCAGAGAACATCCCAGAAAATGACTTCTGGTGACTCTGAAGTAACCCAGCTTCACAAAGTGCCTGTGTTTGGAAAAGCTCGGGAGGGAGGAGCCAGTGCTGTTGTGAAAAGGGGTATTTCAGAACCAGGAATTTTCAACGTTTCTATGACAGCAGCACCAGAGAAGTCGCAGCCCTTGCGGAGTCGGACGGCAAACGGCTGCTGGGGAGGGCTGCTCCTCGAGGACACTGACTGCTAGCCCGAGAGGATCGTCTCGGAAACATGTCTTCTCTCTCCCTGGTATTTTTGCCATCTGTAATTGACTATTTGAAGAAATGTAAATTGGTGGATGAGTCAGAAACAGTAATACCCAATTATCTGCATTAACCTATGTTTTCCTTTGTAAAACCTTTTCTACCGTATGTTTAAATAGCAGTAGAGTTGGACTCACCAATTTCAGACCGATGGTATATCTGCATTGCGAGAGGACTGCACAGAACACAGGTCACACAATATTCAGAAACCTGAGCAGGCCCTGAACAAGCTCCTGGCTGCAAAGCGGTATCCACAGAGCCTACCCCATTCCAGGGTAATTCTGCCTCTCTACTCAGTGTCGCTGAAGGACAGACAACACATGCAAAGCAGGCTTCAACAACGCGGCTTTCACATAGATTTGGGCAGCAAGGGAAGAAAAGAGGTATTTTATCTGAAGAGAATCCTATGCTCAGGAAAAAGTAATCTTCAGGAAAGGATGACAAGGTTTCAGCACAGAAACCCTGACTGAGACAGGCCTGCTCCTAAAGCAGAACTGCAGGGGACATCCTAAGGTTGGACGACACTTGGGATGTCTGCATCTTCACATGCTGATTTACAGAGATAATGCAAAAGTACGGTGCAACCTCCGGAACGGAATGTTTCCTTTCCTTCTGACTCACTTTGCTGCGTGCATGTGAGGTAGCGCAAGTTTCCCCAAGTATTTGTAGCCTGTCACTCTGAGTAATCCTTGGGTGCGTGAACAGCCTCTGTGCATAAATCACTCGTTAGAGGGATATATGTACATCCACAAAACCACAGAGAGCTCTGTCAAGATCTAATCTCAGTCAGCTACACTGATCTGGCAATGTCTATGGCAAACTTCCCGTGCAAACTCAGCCAGCACTGAAGTCCCACAGGGCTGGGTGCCACAGATGCATTTTTTAAACCCAGAAACTTGCAGTCGAGAGTCTAAATTGTAAAACTCCCTCTTCTCAGCTGCAGAAATCAGCCTGCTTGGAGACAAGACGCAGGATCTGGACCTAATCTAAAACAACTGAGGCAACAGACAGAAATAGGGAATAAGGAGGAAGACAATGACACCATTGGCAATAGTGACATTTACACTTTTTCAAAATTTTTACATAATTTTACTTGGAATCCCCATGTAAGACAGTAACAGCTTGAGCTTTTTTTATTTTCCCAACCCCATCAAGAACGGAATACGGGATCTTTATCACACAGCTTCTCCTCTGCCTGGCTTTCTTTCTGGGCGTCTTAGCCAACGCAGACCCCTGTTCCTTACCCAAATCCTTCACTCAGAGACAGCAATCCACAATGGACAACCAAAGGCAAAGCAACGGTGGCGTTGTGTCACCACTCAGTCCAGATGCTGAGATGTTCCCAGTCATTTATGCCACATGAGAAACATTTTCCCCGTCAATGCTTATGTAGGCAAAGGAAGAAAAGGGAAGAAAGGAAGGAAAAAAATACCTTTCCAGGGCTTAACAAAACATATTACTGCATACCTCGATCACAAATTCCCCTCCTTATAATGCTAGACAGGTAATAAAACCACTAAGAAAGCACTTTTGTGGCTATATATTAAAACACCAAAACACCACTTATCAAGCATTAAATTGTAAATGGTAATTATTATCCCAGTATTCATATCCTTTCCAGGGTATGTCAGGTCTGGTTTTGCAGGAAAGAGTATAGAGCATGTGAAACTTAAGTAAAAAAAATAATCTGCTGCAGACCTCTTTTCAGACGTCACGGAAAGGAACATAGTCAAGTATTTAAGAAAACAGAGCTGCCATAGGCTAACTTGATCTTTACCGCTTTCCATTCCCTTCAGAAGCTTCAGCATGACTTCAGAAACTGAATGTCTCAATCCTCTGAAAAACAGTGTTAACCTCCTTAGACAAAGGCAAAGTGAGGAGTACTTCCCACAATTACACAACAAGTATCAAGGAATTTGAGATACTGCCTTAGGTTCAGAATAATCCAGACATATCTGGTTCCCTTATGCTGCATTTTTTTAGAAGACCAACCAGCTCTTGCCTTCAGTCACATTACAAGCCTTAGGTATCCAACTCCCTTCAAGTCCTCTTTCAGAGGCGAACAGTGCAATCTTCCAGGGAACAGGCAAAAATTGTTCCAGCCCTTTCACTCTCAATTCATCCTCTCTGGCCCCGCAATGACCCCCACAGGCAGCCCCCCACAGGCATATCACCCCTCCGGGCAAGCCTCCGACACCGCAGGTCCTCAGGCTGACAGAGCCACCTCCACCATGCCCCATTACCTCCCCATCGCTCCCCCACTTCCCACCCAGCTCCGGACTCCTTCCCTATCGCTGTCCCACGACATCCACCTCAGCCCCTCCTTAGTGCCTGCTGACCCCCCACATTTCTGAGAGAGATTCACCCCTACCCCCCTCTCCCTAACCCCAGGCCTTTCTGCCTCTGTCGGCTGTTTCCCACAACCCTTCCTCCACAGCCTGCTCCCCCTCCTCGGCAGTTCTGCAGCCCACTGCCCACCTCAGTCACCCCCCTTCCTAGCCCCCAGGCCCCCATGCACACACACCGGCACCCC